ATCAAATACCTTTAGAGGAGGATTATCGGGAGCTAATGCCTCTGCAACAAATTGTGGTCCCAGAGCTGAACCTCCAATCCCAACAGAGAGTATCTGAGTAAAGCGACCTGCCGGAGAAGAAGGGGGCTTAATCTGCAATTGAAAACATATAGAAACGAATGATGCAACAGATGAAGCATATCTCCGTCGCTAATTACTAGTAGGCTTTACTCTTTAGCAGGTAGTCATTTCCAGGACTCCAATTTCATAATTCCATGGTCTGTGCCAATCACCATTACATTTGCACTCTTTAAAGCTTCAAGTTCATTTTCACCAAATTTGAAAATTAGCTTAGAAGCCAGCAAAACGAAAGCTACTCTCACCTTACCACTGATGATTTCATCAGCGAACTTGCAAACAGCATCGAGCGTGGTCTCAATCTGCCGCCGCAAAATCGACTTCGGCGCGAGTTTCGAATTTCTCAGCCAGTAATGTCCGACCATCCGCCCTTCGTCAGGATTCGCAATGGCGCCTTTCTCCAGCTCCTCCATAGCCTGGAACGCCGCTTGGAATCTCGGTTCCATCTCCGCCACAAACTCATCCGTAAACCCGATCCGACTGACATCTAGGTACAACCCGAGCTCCTTGTGCTGGTATAGCCAGTCTACGTACCTCCTCCACAGTGCCTTAGGATCTTTCTCAAGTCCTCTCTTGGCCTTCGGTAATCCATTGTCTGTCTTCGTCAAATTCGAGGATACCTCCCGTGCTACGGACTGAACAGCGAAAGATTTTGACCGAGTTTGGAATGCGAAGGAGAGGGAGTCCTTGCGAAGTGGCGGCGTGAGCTTGGTGATCTGGTTGTGTTTGGGCTTTAGAGACGGTGAAGAAGAACAGAGGCCTGAAAGAGAGGCCATGGGGTTGAACGTGTGAAAGGAAGCAATGAAAACGATGGGGTGATTTCTGAGGGAAGGAAGAGAGGAGGGAGATTTGTATACTACTAGACCATACCAGGGAACAAGAGCTGATTTTTTGTGAATTGATGAACGGAAATGTTTTGGTTTTTTTTGGCTGTGATGGAGACTTCTGTTGATGGCCCGCACAAGTTGATTGACTGACTGTTGGTTTTAGGGAAAACATCAACTTTGGCCCTTGAACTTGCACTAGTTCTCAATTAAGCCCTGTAAGTAGAAGGCTTGCCCAATTTAGCTCTCAAATTTTTTTCTAGTATCTCACATTACTATTAACATTACTGTCGAGGACTGCATCAAAGGAAAAAAAAAAATTACTATTGAAGACACACTTGATAAGTTAATACCGATGATTAAGTAAATCCTCACCATAATTTTTATTGAGTTTTGATGTGTACTATCCATATTCTCCCAAATTTTTCATTGTTCAACTTTTTTTCTTTTTTATATAAAACTCTTTGTCAAGAGCTATTATTGTGAGAAATATTTGTGTTCTACCTGAAGAAATATTTGTTGTTTTACTTTAATTTGCTAATAGATTCAAAAAGTTCATAAAAAAACCTAAAAATATGTATCATTCTCCTCTCCATAAAACATCTTAATTAATTCTTCTAGGGTTTATGTGCCCACATGTTTTTCCATCTTCCCATATTCTTTGCATTTGTTGAGAGAAAATTGAAATTAACAAAATAAATTATTGAAATAACAGGATAGGTAGATATATGACTATAATATGTCCCATTTGAAGTTTGGACCTTGAGGTTGAGTTAGCAATCATATGAGCCATATGATAATATGATATCTCAATGCTTAGAAGTATGAAATTTCAAATTTGAATTTTGAGATAATTGAGAAAGGAAAAGCTGTTATTTATTATATAACTTACAATTAAACATATTAAAAAAATGGTAATATGATCTTCATTGTCTAGTTCAGATAGTTTCACTTATTATTTGAATTATAAATAATAAAAGAAAAATAAAGAAAAAGAAGAAAGCATGCTTTCCATTGATATTCTCACGATTTTTAAAAATTACAACTTTTAAAAAAGAAAAGAATTGGATGGATGCTTGCAATCCCTACATTAATTTCATTGTTATCTCTAAATGAACAAATGATTCCTTATTTTCCTTATTTTCCTTATTTTCCTCTCCCTTTCCTCATTACTTTCAATCCAAACATTCTTTCTAATACATTTTGAAAAGTAAGAGTGAAAATTGGAAACATTTATTCCTAGAGGGCTTAGTTGAGAAGTGAATAGAAGATTAAGGACCAAGTTAGATGGTTTTCCTTAGTTTTTCTAGTGTGAAACGACGTAACCACCCTTGAATATTCTCC